GGGGGGGGGGGGGGTCAGCCGAACCCGGTGAATGGCGGCAGGCTGGCAGGGCGGGCGGGCAGGTGGGCAGAGGGCGGAGGTAGGCAGCCTTGTCTTGAGCGACTTGGTTGGTGTTGGGTGGGCTTGTGTGTGGGCGTAAGTGTGTGCTGTTGTGTAGGATTGGTGGTGGTCTTGGCGTAGCGTTGTACTGTTTGCGGGGCTCTACGGCTGGAGCATGGAGACCGACGAGACTCAGGGGTACAAGGCTGGCTTGTCGTCGTCGTCGTCGTCGCTGTCCGAGGTCATTGCAAGGATGGGCGGTGAGGCTGGGGATTCAATGGTGGGAGCCAGGGCTGACCGTGGTGGTGCGGCTCGTGCGCGGGTGGCATCGGCGCTCCCGCCGCATATCCTTGTGCAGGCGGCGTCGCGGTCCGAGTCGTCGATGTCGTTGGCGGCGTCGTCATCATCGATGATGTCGACAACGGATGGGGCCGAGACCGAGGGCGAGGCGCCGGTGGGGGAAGCGGTTGCCAAGGCGACGATGATCGCGGCGGGCGTTGACGTTGCCGGCAGTGATCTGGTGAAAGAGGACGGATGCGTGGTGAGTGGGACGAGGGAGGCGCTGACGTGGGCGCTGGTTGATCCGTCGTGCAGCGGAGACGAAGCGCTCCTGGAGGACTTTCTGCTCACCTACCGGTACTTTACCACGCCACACGAGCTTGTGTCGCTGCTAGCAAGCATGTTTGGAGCAGGCGCGGGCGAGGGCGGTGCTGGGGCACCGGCGCAGCTGCGGGTGCTGGCGCTGATGCGTGCGCTGCTTGAGACCGACGCGCATCTGTTTGCAGGCACCGACGGCGAGTCGATGGCGACGCTCGACAACTTGTTGACGTTCGTTGACCGGGCGTTGCGGATGCGGCCAGCGGGCGAGGTAGTAGAGGCGCTGCGGGAGCTCGCGCGCTGCGCTATCCATGTCGAGGGTTCGCTGCCGGACAAGGCCCACTCGCCACTGCTCGAGCACCTGCCGCCCAACGCACCGCTGCAAATGGTGCTCGACCGGCTGGCGCCGGCCAATCCAAAGGCCTTTCCGGCAGCCGAGGCGGCAAGCATTGTGGCATCACTCGATGTCGCAGACGTGGCGCGGCAGGTGACCCTCATTTCGTTTGGCCTCTTCTCGCGGATCGAGCCGCTCGAGTGCCTGCGGTCGACGTTCTCGGACGACCCTGCAGCGGCGCCGGCGTTCACGGCGTGGACTCGATTCACCAACCGGATGCGAGCATGGTTGGTGAGCCTTGTCCTCGCGCCGCAGAAGAAGAAGGACCGCATCAGGCTCTACACCAAGCTTCTTGCGCTCCCGCACGAGTTTCTTAAGCTGAGTAACTTTCACGACGCACTCAACGCGTGGATCGCGCTCGACGTAACGCCCGCCATTGCGCGGCTCAAAGTACTGCGGAGCGCGGTGCCCGAGGCTGCGCTGGCAGCACTCAAGCCGATACAGATCTTGTTTGAGCCGCGCAAGAACAACGCCAACTACCAGGCGGCGCTTTTCAAGGCAACACCGCCGCTTGTGCCGGTCCTCTCGATCTTCTCGTCGCTGCTGTACAAGACCGACGATGCGCAGCCGGACGTGCTCAGCTCGGGCCACGTCAACTTTCGCAAGCTGCGGCTCATGGGCTCGATCATGCACAAGGTGCTTCAGTACCAGACGACGCCGTACTACATGCAGGCCAACAGCCAGCTCATCAAGTACCTGCAGAGCGCACAGGTCTACCCCGAGTCGCAGTGGAACGAACTCTCGGTCAAGATCGAGCGGGCCAAGGGCCGCGGCAAGGGCTGGTTCTCGTGATCCGCGCTAGTGGTCGAGACGGGTTGTGGCAGAAAAGCAAGCTGTAGGAGCTGGACGACGCAGATACCCGAGAGGTTGGAGAGCACACCGGCGACGTCCTGTGGGGACGCACACTCAAGAAGCGAGGAGGCACGAAGCGTAAAGATGCCGACAGCGAGGGCGGGCACGACGTAAAGCGAGTCATAGGCGACGATCCTGTCCCAGAGCGCGAGGAGCTGGCCCGGTGGAAGAAACGACGAAAAGCCGCGGACAAGCCAGGGAAAGGCGGCACGAAGAGGCGGTGCGCCGATGGCGGTGCAGTGGGCGGCAAGGACAGGATCGAGCTCGGCGAGCCAGGTCTCAAAGGCGGCGGCAAGGGTGAGGAGCGACTCGGAGCCCGAGGCGAGCGCCGAGAGCCGGACCAGGTGCCGGGTGTAGAGAGCGCGAAAGACGGAGTACACACCGTCGGGAGCGGAAGACAGGTACGCAAGGGGAGCAATCATGTGGGCGAGGCCCTCGGGTGGGACAACGCCGCACGGCGGATAGGCTGCGCCCGAGCTCGGGTCGACAAGGCTAATACCGGGCAGGGCAAGGAGCGACGGCAGTGTGCGGTCGCGGACAAAGGCCAGGGCGACGTCGCGGATGAGATCCAGAAAGACAAAGTAGTGTTCATCGTTGGCGGTGGCGTTGATGTCGGCGCGGAGAGGAGCATCGATGGCAAAGTCCCAAGCTTCAACCTCGCCCAGGAGGGCATCAAAGTGTAGCGCGTTGTCATGCGAGGGAGCGACAAGCAGGAGGGCGAGCCAAGCGTCGAAGCGAAGCGACGATGGGATGCCATGGCGGGCCCAGTCGCGGAGCGCGTCGACGTCCCCCGTAGCCAGTAGCGCCTTGCCGGCCTCGTAATGCGCATCCTCCCACTCGGTGGGACCATCGGGCGCGAGCGAGTCGTCGCAGCACTTGTTGCCGAGGCTGAGTGCGTCCCACGAACAGCGAAGCTCGGAACGGGACGGAACAGCAAGAGCGAGCGAGATGAGGCCGAGCGGGAAGAAGCGGGTAAAGGCGGCTGTGGCATTTGGGTTGGTGATGCGGATGAGAGCGCGGAAGAGGGCGTTGATCGCCAGCGGCTGGACAAGGCCCTTGTCTAGCAGAGCAACCAGGCGCTCGTCCTCGGCCACGGCACGATCGTCGTCGTCCTCGGCCAGCTCGGCAGCACTGCGAAGGCGGGCCCACGGCAGGCCCAGCTTGGCACGCATCTCGCGCAGACCACGAACAACCTCTGTCCGCCACGCCTCGCGAGCACGGGCAACTGCCTCTAGCGGCTCTGCCTTTCCGTGATCGGGGGGAGAGCGAGTGAGGCAAGAGCAGCTTGTGCCAGCGAGCGGCGCGGGCTCGCCAGACTCGATCCGTCCGCAGCAAGAGCCATGGCATGCATGCGGTGAGCAGTGGCCAGCATAGGCCGAGCAGAGTGAGAGTCCGAGAGTGTAGCCGCCAGATCGTGCGCATCCAGCAGGTGTGGCAGCGGTCCACCATGACCTGCAGGGAGCAGCTCGGCCCGGACTGCTGCCTTTGCCGCCCAGTACGAGGAGGTAGCCACCAGATGGGAGGTAACAACAGGTGTCCCGGTAGCGGCTGGAGTCGAGGATGGGTAGGAGAGGGGGAGGGGTGGGGGGAGGAGGAGTGGGTCGGCCATGGCTGGGGATGGGAGTGAGGTGTGGATAGGGAGGGAGGGGGGGGAGGGGGGGGGGAAGGGGAGGCAGGCGGTGGCAGGCACACTCGACTCTGGAAGAGAGCGAGAGGAGGGAGGGGGGAAGAAGAGGGATAGCAAACAGGTGGAGAGGGAGGTGGAGTGATGGCTAGCACGCCCAGAGTGGCGCGTGCGCTGCATACCTTTCAGGCGAGTCAGGGCGGGCAGCTGTCCTTTGCCGCCAACGACCTGCTCCTGCTGCACTCGGCTGTGGGACAGTGGTGGGAGGCATCGCTGAGAGAGGCAAAGGGCCTGGTGCCTGCAAACTATCTGACTTTAGCCACTCCGCCAGATGGGGCTTCCTTTGCCATCGCACAGTATGCCTTCTCCGCCCAACGCGTGGGCCAGATCAACATGGTCAAGGGCGAGGTCATGACCGTCACAGACGCAACCGGCAGGTGGTGGACTGCCTTTGGCGCAGATGGCATCGAGGGCCATGTCCCTTCGAACTTTCTCGACCTCATTGGTTCCATGCCTGTGTCTCCGGATGCCACTGCTGCCACTGCCACTGCTGCTGCTGCTGCTGCTGCTGCTGCTGCTGCTGTCGTAGAGGCTGATCAGGACCGAGGCGCTAGTGCTGAGGCCGAGGCCGAGGCTGACGGCGAGGCTGGGGGCGAGGCTGAGGCTGAGGCTGGCGGCGAGGCTGAGGCTGAGGGCGAGGCTGAGGCTGAGGCTGGCGGCGAGGCTGAGGCTGAGGCTAAGGTCGAGGCTGAGGCTGGCGGCGAGGCTGGGGGCGAGGCCGAGGCTGGGGACGAGGCCGAGGCCGAGTACGAATACGAAGAAGTCGTCGAGTACGTCGAGGTCGAGGCAAGCGACGATGGTGAGGCCGAGGCAAGCGCTGATGGGAGCGGGAGCAGCGACGCAAGCGAGGATGGGCGGCCGCAGCTCGAGACGACGGCGCTGTCGGCGGTCGCGCCGTCGGTGGTCGCGCCGTCAGGGTACACGGTCCGGGCGCTCGACGACTATGAGCCGCTGTCGAGTGGGCATCTTTTTTTTGAAAAGGGTGATCTGCTGACAATCACGTCGAGGATCTCGTCGCAATGGCTCATGGGCTCGGTGGTCGGCATTCCTGGCGAGGGTCGCATCCCGTCATCGCTAGTCGTTGAGATTGCCCACGAGCCCGCAGCCGACGTTTCGCAGCCGACCACCGACTTTTTCAAGTCGGATCCTGACTCGATGCTCACAGAGTTCAAGTCTGAGTTTGGGGCAGAGACCACCGAGTGCAACGACGACGCAGCGAGCGTTGGCAGCGATTGCGGCCAGGTGGACGAGCCACAAAGAGACGACAGAGCCGATGCAGGCTCTGATGACCAGGCGGCGGCGCAGGCGTCTGGCGAGTCGATGGTCTTGATCGACATCGGCACTGACGGCGACTCGGTTGCGTCATACGTTCACGCGCTGCTGGACAACAGCGACGACGACACGGCACACGATGTCGACAACATGTCGGGTGACGGTGATGGTGGTGATGTGTTTGGCTCGCGGTCGGCGTCGGCATCACGCTCGCGCTCGCGCTCGCGTTCACGTTCGCGGTCGGCATCACGCTCGCGGGCGGCTGCCGAGGGTAAGGCAGTGACTCCAGACGAGCCGCCGCCATCGGCGGCGGCAACAGCGATGGCGCTGAGGATGAAGCGGCGGCAGTCGACTCCGGCTGTGGTGGGACGGCCAGACGACAAGTCGCGCATGCTCGACTCGATGCAAGCCGAGTCAAGCCCGAGCCTGGTGCGGCGGCGATCCAAGTCGCAGGCGCAAAAGGACGGCGAGGCTCGGCGGCAGAAGCGAGCAGTAGGCTCGCGGTCGCGGTCGCGGTCGCAAGCCGGAGGCAGCCCGCGCACTGAAGCATCAAGGGTATCAGGGAGCATGTCGGAGACGCAACTTGTGCCGAGCATGGACACTGAGCTCGTTCAAACATTCCTGGCGCGCGAGAAGGAGGCTGAGGGCCGGGAGCGTGCACTGATGAAGCGCATTGCCGAGTTGGAACGGGCCAACGCCAAGCTGGAGGCGCAGCTCGAGCTGGAGCGCGAGCGCGTAGCGCTCATGGCCAACTCGGCATCGGCGACCAACCTCGCGCTGGCCGAGGCGCCATCGGCCGCGCTACGAGCACGAGCTAAAGCGGCCAAAAAGCGCAATGTCGAGCTGATGGTCGAGGTCCGTGAGCTCAAGCTGCAGCTCGCCGACAAAGACGCCGAGCTCGCCGAGGCGCACGCGCTCATCGCGTCGATGGACTTCCATGGCGTGAGCCAACGGGCTAACATCGCCATGCTGGAGACGGCGCTGCGGCATCCTGGGGCGCGCCCGCTCGAGCCGCTGCTGGCCGGCGGCGCATCGCGGGCTGAGGCTCGCCAATCGAACCGCGCCGCGTCTTCGCCGACGGCAAGCACCCAGGCATCGGCATCGCCCCGGCCGCCGGCGCCGCCGTCCGAGGAGCAGGTCCTCGCCCTCAAGATCGAGCTCGAGGGCAAGCACCGGGCGGCGCTGCTGGACATCCAGGGCGCGTACGAGCACCTGCTCGCGCGAGCCAAGGCCAAGATCAAGACGGCGCAGATGGAAAAGTCGACCGTGGTCTCGCAGCTTGCCTCGCGCCAGCAGCAGCTGGAGATGGAACTGGTGGCCAAGCGCCAACTGATGGGCCAGCTGGAGGTATCGACCCGGACGATCCGCAGCCTGAAGAGCTTGCTGTTCTCCATCCACGACCAGATGGAGCTCAAGCTGAACCAGGCAGTCAACCTGCGATCGCATCTTGCACCGCGGGTGCCGTTTGAACGGCGGTGAGCAAGGCTGCAGAGTGTAGAGTCCGTTTACAGCGGCGATAGGTGTGGTGGTGAGGAGGAGGGGGGGAGCGACAAGAGTGAGGCGCAGTGACTGCAGAGGCCAAGCGAGCGTGAGCCCGGCGAGCAGCGACGGTGCCAGAGAGGAGAGCGCTGATGATCAGAACGAGGGGGCGAGGGCGGCAGCGGCAGCGACGGCCTCATCGTACAGCTCCTTGTACTTGAACGAGTCATCGACAGTAACAAGGATGACCGAAGTCGGGCGCTTGGTACCCGATGCAGCACCAAGGTCCTCCTTTGAAGCCACGTAGATGTAGGTGATGCCAGCATCCTCACACATGATGGGAATATGCGAAATGACATCAATGGGCGAAATGTCGCCAGCGAGGACCACAAAGCCCTTGCCGCCCTTACGGATAGCCTTGACCACCTCCTTGACCCCACGCCGGATGAGCTTCTCCTTGCCAGCTATTCACACAAACACATACAGACACGGACACGGACACACACAAGTTGTAGGGTACAGGGGGTGGAGGCAGTGAGTGGTGGTTGCGTGGGTGGGGGGGGGGGTAGGGGAGGGGGGGAGAGGGTGCGGGATGGAGGCCTGGATGGGCAGCCACCCGGACTGTCGGAGGGGGGGGGGGAGGGGAGAAGGGGGGGGGGAGGGAAGAGGGGGCGTACCCTTCTTGATGACCTTGAAGATCTTCTTGGTCAGCTTGTCGTCGGCAAGGGGCTGGGCAATGGCGCACACGTCGGCTGTGTTGCTCTCAATCTCCATGGCCTGCATTGTGGAAAGAGTCGGGTGTCGGCCTCTGTTGGTCGGCCGTGGTTGGCCCCGGACGACGACCGTTGCCTCTCGGGGGGAGGATCGATTTGATTAGAGAAGAAGGAGGGAGAGAGGGAGGAGGGGAGGAGGGGGGGGGGGGGATGAGTTGATTGGGGATTGGGCATGTGTGGAGGATGTATGTGGTGTGTTGTAGGCTGTGACGTTGTGCATCGCAGAGAGAGATCATGGTCTGATCATGGGATAACTGCGCACTGCAGACACAGAGAAAGCGAGAGAGAGAGAGAGACACGCATACACACACACACATACATGCACACACACACATATTTAAAATCATATGTATATATATATACCTTCTGATTCCCACCTCTTCCTCTCCATCCCCATCCCCGCTGATGTGTGATTCATCCTACCGTCATGACCAGGTAGGTCTCTCTCTGCGACTCATCTTCGGTGATCACCAATTCTCCGCGCACAAAGTCCCTCCTCCTTCTTCCCCCCCTGCCCCTCCCTCCCCCCTGGGAGGCATACATGGGCAGGGAAACCAGCCTGTAGCCCCCTTATATCCTCAGCCAGCAGCGCATACTCATGCTTCTCTCCCTCTCACACTCATCTACCTCCAGATCGTTGCCATCTTCGTGCGATGCCGGGGGGGTGGTGGTGGTGGTGGGGGTGGGGTGGGGGGGGGGGGGGGGGTGGTGGCAGGGGCGGAGCGTGTGTGGCCAGGCAGACGGGCAGGGTGACACAGGGGGGGATACTTGTCGCTGTACTCTTGCAGGGAAGCAGAGTAAGGTGGGAAAGGAGAGGGCTTCTTCACTACTGTGTGCGTGTGCGTGTGTGCGTGTGCGTGTGAGTGTGTGTGTGTGCCTGTGTGCGTGTGCGTGTCTGCCTGTGTATGTCGGCGTGGCAAGGGGCTGAGGTGCGGCGGCTGGTGGTGGTCACCGACTGCGGCGTGGTGGGGGACGGCGATGACAGGGACGGTCACGGCGCAAGTGGCAGAGTTGGAGGAAATGGTGGAGATGGCAAACACGAGTGCGTGGCCAATGCTGCCGCCTCCGCCAAGAGCAGCAATCGCGGCCACATTCCTCGGCGATCGCTCCTCGCGAACAGCTGCAGCTCGCCGTGGTCGCTGTCGGTGGGCGATGCGGTCAGTGGTGGCAACGGGAGCGAGCACGAGGGAAGCATTTCGCTGGATGCGTACTTGGCCTCGCTCGGTGGCCCGTGGAGCTCCATAGCTGGCGCGGATGTCGAGTCGGAGGCGGCGGCGGCGGGCACCGGGCTGATTGTGGAAGGCGGGGTGGAGGCGGCGCTCGACGCGGTGTATGCCCAGAGGGATGGCGAGCGGTGGCTGAAGCCGGTTCATCCCACACTGCCGCGTGAAGTGACGCTGGAGAATGGTGTGGTTCAGGTAGCACGCGAGCCGTGGGACTTGACGCGGGTGCTTGCGCACGCGACGCTCCATCCGCTCTCGCTCAACCAGCGGCTGTTTGTGGCGTACCAGGCGGTACAGGGGCTTGCAGCGGTGCACGCGCGCGGGGTGGTGCACGGCGGTCTTGCGCCGCAGGCGCTGCGGTTCTCACCGGCGCTGCTGCTCACGATGGATCCGCCGAGCGGCGGGGCGGTGCTCCGGGCGGCGGCTGCGGCGGCGGCGGTGCTGCGCGCCCCGGCGGGCACCAGCTCGTTGACGGCGGCTTGGGTGGCGGGCGGTGTGAGCAACTTTGAGTATCTGATGGCACTCAATGCGGCGGTGGGGCGGACGGTAGGCGAGCCGCACTTTCACGCCATTCTCCCATGGATCACCGACTTTAGCGGAGCGAGCGCTTCCGATCCGGGCGCACTCCGCGACCTGAGCAAGTCCAAGTATCGGCTCAAGAAGGGAGACGCCCAGCTGGACATGATGTACTCAGCGGCGTCACCGCCGCACCACATTACGCACGCGCTCTCGGACATCACGTTCTTCGCGTACATGGCACGGGTCACGCCGGTTGAGGTTCTCACTTCGGTGGTCCGGTCCAAGTGGGAGCCGAACGAGTACCCTTCATCGCTGGAGCGGCTCTACGTCTGGTCGCCGGACGAGGCCATTCCGCAGTTCTTCACCGACCCGTCAATCTTTGACTCGATCCACCCGGACATGCCGTCGCTGGCGCTCCCGTCGTGGGCGCCGACGGCCGAGGCCTTTATTGCGGCACACGCTGCGCTCCTCGAGTCACCGGCGGTCTCAGCTGAACTGCACAACTGGATCGACCTGACTTTTGGCTACAAGCTCTCGGGCGAGCACGCGGTGCAGGCCAAGAACGTGCCGCTCTCGACGTCGAGCATGGGGCTCGGCTCAGCGCTCGGCTTTGTCAAGCTCTTTGACGCACCGCACCCGCGCAAGCACGTGCGGTCGACCGGCCGGGCGCTCCCGCCCAACGCCGCGTACGCGGTCCCCAGCGCCGAGTTGGACGCTTCGGTCGGTGATTGCAAGGCGCTCGACACGCTGCTGCAGACACAGGATTCGTTCGACTCAATGGCATCAGCGGGCGAGATGCAGAGCCCGACGGCTGGTAGCGTTAGCGGAGCCAGGCTGCACGGCTCGCGGTCGGCGCCGTCGATTGGGATTGCGGCAAGCGGGGTGGGCGGCGGAAGCAGTAGGCGGCTGGTGTCACCGACGGCAGCAACCGCGCCGGGAGGAGGGGCATCAAGCAGCTCGACGTCGACAGGCCTCATGTCTGCGCTCCGCCGGCTGACCGAGCCGATCGAGCGGCTGCGCGGGCGGGTGACCAACCCGTCGTCACCGGCAGCCTCTTCGGGCTTGCCTGTCCTGGATCCGGCGCCGCGGAGTGGAACGCCAGTGGGAGGGCCTGTTCAAGGCGGAAGCCCAAACTCGGGTAAGAGCACCGGCTCGCCCGGAGGAGGCGGGGCCGGGATCGGGCCTGGGTCCGGGCCGGTCGTGTCCGACGGCGGAGGCGGCGCTACCGGGTCCGACAGCGGGCCCGGCGGCAGCGGGCTGGCACTTGCGGTCGAGGCGCGGCGCCGGTCGTCGTCGGTGACGAGCAGTGCGACACCAAGCAGCAGCACAGGGGTTGGTCCGTTTTTTACGCCGGCGCCGATTCAGGTGGAGCGGACGGCTGCACTGGATGCGCTGACGTACGCGCTCGACGCGCACGAGACATGCGGCGAGTTTGAGGCGCTTGCGCAGCGGTGGCTAGAGCCGTTTGTGGCGTCGGGCGAGAGCCGGTCGCAGGCGGGAGACTGCGTGGCGCTGGCGGGCGTGCTGGAGCCGCTGCTGCTGGCGATGCAAGACGGAGTTGGCGTGGGCGAGCAGCTGCTCAGTGCCATTCGCGGAGCGCAATCAGGCTTGGCTGCTGCGGCTCTGACGGCGGGCCTCTTCCCTGCCGCATTGCGGGAAGCGTTTGAGGCAGTGGCGGCAGTGCGGGAGGCGCGAGCTAGCGGGCACGACCCGTTGTCTGTGCTGGAGGCGTTACTGGATGGGGCGGCGTACATGTCGAAGCTTGACATGCTCGAGCTTGTGCTCCCGGTGAGCTTGCCTGTCGAGGATGCAAGCAAGGCGAGCGTGGACGCGGCACGAATTGTGCTTGCGCTTGTGCGGCACCTGGGGCCTCAACTCTCCGGGCGGATGCTCAAGTCGCGCGTAGTTGCTCTGTACGGGCAGTTGTCCGAGGCTGCGAGCGAGCCGCAGTACGCGGCGCTCCTGCTGGACGCCGAGTATGTGCGGAGCGTGATGGTGGCGTTTGGCGGCGCGTTTGTGGTCACTGAGATCCTTCCGGCAGTCATCGAGCTTGTGGTGGATGGAAGTCTGGAGTTTGTGTCGCTCCTTGCGCTGCAGCTGGAGAAGCTCCTTGTGGAGGTCTTCCTGCCTGTGGTCGGCCTCAAGTTTGTGGTCATGCCGCTCGTTGTTGCTGTGGCGCGTGGGGCGAGCGAGGCTGTGACCGAGCTTGCAATCCGGTGCGTGGCAAGCGTGGGCGAGCCTGCGCTCTCACACCACGTCATTCCGTTTGTGATGTACCATCTGAGCCGGGCAGTGGGGCGCGGCGACCGCGCGCCGGTGAGCGGAGTCATTGGCCTTCTCCGGCTTGTGGGCGCGTTCCTGGACGAGCTTGACAGCGAGGTGGTGCTCAACACGCTGGTCGTGCCGTCGACAGCATTGTTTGACTTTCTTCTCCACCCGCCGATGGACTCTGAAGAGGTGTTCCGGCTCGCAGCCGGGCTCTGCATGCGTGTGGCCGAGGTGATCGGGCCGGACGCAGTGCGTGCGCACGCAATCGACCGGTTTGCGTTGTACTTGGCTGACTATGACGACTTTTATGAGAGCATGGAGGCCGAGCCGCTGTGGCGGCATGCTGGCGGCGGCGAGGCGTCCGACCTTCACACGCCTGAGTTTGCATGCCTGGTGTACCACACACTCTGCCGGCTTGTGGGCCAGGTAACGATGCGGCGCGAGATCGAGAACGCAGAGCTCATTGAGGCGCTCATGTACACGCACCTTTCGTCGGGAGCGGCGGAACTGAAGGCGAACGAGCTGGTGGCGAGCGGAGTGGGTCCCGGCGTGGTGCCGACGATGCGGCGGCGTGCGCTGGATAGCGAATCGCCCGTGGCTGTGTGGGCGGGCGCGATGCCACCGCTTCGCGGAACAGGCGTTGCCGAGTGGCGCAAGCACTGGGAGCCTGAGGACCGCCCGGTGGGCGTGCTGGAGGGTCACAGCGACCGGGTGCGGGCGGTGGCGGTCTCTGGTGACGAGCGGATCCTTGTCTCTGCCTCGCGCGACGGCAGCGCGAGCGTGTGGCGGCTGGACGGGACGGAGCGGAGCGCGGTGTACTCGCGGCATAGCGAGGCGCTCCACGACGTGGTCCTTCTTCCGTTTGCGGGGCACGCAGTCTCGTGCGACTCGCAGTTGCACGTATGGGATGTGGAGACTGGGGCGACGGTTGCGTCGTACGAGGGAACATCGCCGATGCTATCGCTTGCGCACGTGGGACACGCGTCGCTCGTGCTGGGCGGGACGCTCGAGTCGACGATCCGGTTCTTTGATGTGCGGACGCCGCGTGCGCTCCACGAGTGGCACGCCATGCCTGCGTCTGCATCTGCGGGGGCAGCGACGTACGTGCGAACGCTTGTGGCGTCAGAGCCTGCGTGTGCGGTGCTGGCGGGGCTCTCGACCGGGCACGTGTCTACGCTCGATCTGCGTGCGGGCAACTTTGTGCAGGCGTGGCGGGCGCACAGCTCGCAGGTGCTGGACATGAAGCTGCTAAGCTTGGACTCTGGCCCGCAAGTGCTTGTGACGTCATCGTCGGACCACAGCGTGGCGGTGTGGAACGCACTCGGACACGGGGCGCCGCGGCTGCTCTCGCGCGGGCACGGGCACCGCGATCCGGTGGCGTCGCTGGCGTACCACGGGCGGCAGCTGTTTGGCGTGGGCGGCTCGCTGCTCTCTGTGGCAAACTTGCTCCACGACGGGGCACTGGAGAGTAGCGAGATGCGGATGCTGCGGATGCAGTGCGTGCGGACCAAGGACGCGCTCTCTGTGGTGCGTGTGCTCCCGCTCTCGCGGATGTTTGTGTTTGGCTTTGAAAACGGAGCGCTGCGGGTGTCTGGGTAAACAACGCGGTTTACAGGGTTGGGATGAGGGATGGGGCAGCGGGGAGCTCGATCAGATGAGCCCGTCGCCCTTGAGCTTCTCGACGAGCTCGTCGACAGAGCCGACCATGATGCCGGCCTCACGGACGGGCGGCTCGTTGACCTCGAGGGTCTGGAGCGAGGAGGCCATGTCAACGCCAAAGTCAGCGGGGGTCTTTGCGTCGATCTTCTTGCGCTTGGCCTTCATGATGTTGGGGAGGGCGGCAAAGCGCGGCTTGTTGAGGCGGAGGTCTGCGGTGACGACAGCCGGGAGCGAGAGCTCGAGGGTCTCGAGGCCGCCATCGATCTCGCGGGTGACGTGGACAGCGGTGTCTGAGACCGGCTCGATCTTGGAGGCCATGGTGCCTTGCGGCCAACCAAGGAAACCGCCGAGGAGCTGGCCGGTCTGGTTGGAGTCGTCGTCGATGGCCTGCTTGCCAAGGATGAACATGGACGGCTCCTCGGCCTTTGCGACCTCGGCCAAGATGCGGGCGACGTTGAGCGGAGCGACCTCCTCGTCCGTCTCGATGTGAATGCCACGATCGGCGCCCATAGCCAGAGCCGAGCGGATGTTCTCCTGCGCCTTCTTGGGTCCAACGCACACAGCAACAACCTCGGTAGCCAGGCCTGCCTCCTTCATGCGGACAGCCTCTTCGACCTGTGGGTGTGTGGGTGTGAGCAAAATTTCGGGGGGGAGGGGGGAGGGAGGGGAAGGACGGGAAAGGGGGGGGGCGGGGGAGGGAGGAGGAGGAG